CCTCTGTGCCTTGTCGAGGTCATTGGTGATGACACCACGTCCCTCAGGTGATGAGAGGCCAGGAAACGGACATGGGGTCCGCAAGGTGCGAAGCAGGGCTCATCTCACGCCGCTGGCTCGGCTCGCCTTCCTCGTCATCCCATGCGGGGAAAGGAGTGTCAGACATAAGCAATATCAAACCATACTTTGTTACAAATCACAGTATAGTATCATTTTTATATTTATTTGCGCTTTTTACTGCCATGTTTTGATATTTTTTTGCAATTTCGTTCCATACTTTTATACAATCCATACCATCATACCATATTTTAACAAAATTGAGCATTGGAGTACCATACTTGGGTTTGTGTAAGCAATATCAAACCATACTTTGTTACTAATCACAGTATAGTATCACTTTTTGATTTATTTGCGTTTTTTATTGCCATGTTTTGGTATTTTTATGCAATTTCGTACCATACTTTTATACAAACCATATCATCGTACCATATTTTAATATTTTGGAGCATTGAAGTACCATATTTTGGTTTGCGTAAGCAAATTAAACCATACTTTCTTACCAATCACAGTATAGTATCACTTTTTGATCTATGTGCGATTTGTATTGCCATGTTTTGGTATTTTTATGCAAATTCGTACCATACTTTTATACAAATTATATCATCGTACCATATTTTAGTATTTTTGATCATTGAAGTACCATATGTTGGTTTGTGTAAGCAACATCAAACCATACTTTGTTACAAATCACAGTATAGTACCATGTTTTGTCTTATTTGCGTGTTTTATTTACATGTTTTTGTATTTTTATGCAAATTCGTACCATACTTTTATCCAAATTATATTATCGTACCATATTTTATAACAATTGAGCATTAAAGTACCATAATTTGGTTTGCGTAATCAATTTTAGACCATACTTTGTTACAAATCACAGTATAGTATCACTTTTTGATTTTTTTGCGTTTTTTATTGCCATGTTTTGGTATTTTTTTGCAAACACGTACCATACTTCTATATAAATTATATCATCGTACCATATTTTAGTATTTTTGAGCATTGAAGTACCATATATTGGTCTGCGTAAGCAACATCAAACCATACTTTGTTACAAATCACAGTAAAGTATCCCTTTTTGATTTATTTGCGTTTTGAATTGCCATGTTTTGTTTTTTCTTGCTACTTCGTACCATACTTTTATACAAACCATATTAGGAAAATCTAAACTTTTTAAATTAAGATAAATAACTAAATAAAGATCTGTTTTGAATTTAAACCGAAGAGTCAATTAGCCTTAGGAAGGCAATAATTACTCTTGGAGTAAGCGGATTGCGATTCGCTAACTCATACTTGGTCCTTGTAAAAAACGAAAGGTCGGTGACCTAATGTACGCCCCTCAAGCGCTAAGCAACGGCAGCCCCGCCGCACGTGGTAGCATTTGTAGTCAATCTACACCTGAGTCGTTTTGACTGATCCTCTTTGAGGATGGAGGAATTTTCAATTTTCCCCCAGGGCATGCAGGACGGACTAAACAAGCTGATGTCCTTGCTTGGCCCTGAGGACGTGCAACACATTGTAGCACAAAGTCCCGAGGCAATCGGTGCGCGACTAAAGGCGTTCTCAAGCT